TTCTGTAAAGACTGACAGCCTTGGAAACCCTCTGGGGCAGTTCCACTCTGTCCTCTAGGGGCGCTGTGAGTCAGAATCGACTTCATGGCAGTGGGTTTGGTTTGGGCTTTGCTTCTGTAAAGACTGACAGCCTTGGAAACCCTCTGGGGCAGTTCCACTCTGTCCTCTAGGGGCACTGTGAGTCAGAATTGACTCCACAGCAGTGGGTGTGGTTTGGGCTTTGCTTCTGTAAAGATTACACCAAAAACCAAATTCACTGCCATCTATTCAGTTCTGACTCATAGTGATCCCCACTGGGTTTCCAAGGTGGTAAATCTTCATGGAAGTAGATTGTCTTATATTCCTTCTGCGGAGCAGCTGGTGGGTTTGAACCACCAACCTTCTGGTTAGCAGTCAAATGACTTAGGGACTACACCACTAGAGCTGCTTCTGTGGAGATTCAAAATAAAAACAACCCAACTCAGTGCTGTCGAGTCGTTTCGAACTCATAGCGACCCCTCATTGGGTTTCCAAGGCAGTATCTCTATGGAAGTAGATTGCCCAGTCTTCCTTCCACAGAGTGGCTGGTGGGTTTGAACCACCAGCCTTCTGGTTAGCAGTCAAAGGCCATATGCACTATGCCCCCGGAGCTCCCTTGGAAAACCTATAGGGCAGTTCTACTTTGTCCTCTAGGGGCACTGTGAGCCAGAATTGACTTGAGGGCAGTGGGTTCAGTTTTCGGTTTCAGGAGAGAGACAAGGGGCAGGCTGCCTCTTCATAGTGGGAAGGAGAGTTTCTAGTAAAATGAGATTTGAAAAAGGGTGTGGGCCACGAACGCAGTTGGGAGACCACTGGAAGCAGACAGAAGGAAACGCCCTTGGAGAAGTGGGAAGACCCAGCGTGCTTGGCTGTGAGAGAGCAGTCAGGTGGGTGTGGCTGGAGGGAGCAGCTGAGGAAAGAGCAGATGGGAACAGAGAAATGGGCGGCCTGCACAGGCAGGGACTGGTTGGGCCCGGGAAGGATTCTGGCTTGTCCTGGGATGGAAGCATTGGAGAGATTTCAGCAGCGTGACTGCCATGCCTTGCATTTTAAAAGGATCTCTCGAGCTCTGTTGAGAAGGTTGTAGGGAGGAAGAGTGGAAGCATGCAGGAAGTGATCCTGAGTCTAGGAGAGAGGTGGCAGTGGCTTGGAGTAGGTGGTGCAGTAAAAGTGGTGAGACTAGTTAAACCAAAACCCTAACTCATTGCCACTGAGTGGTTTCTGACTCACAGCGCCCCTAGAGGACAGAGTGGAACTGCCCCACAGGGTTTCCAAGGCTGTCATCTTTACAGAAGCAAAGCCCAAACCACACCCAGTGCCATGGAGTCTATTCTGACTCACAGCGCCCCTAGAGGACAGAGTGGAACTGCACCCCAGGGTCTCCAAGGCTGTCAGTCTTTACAGA